GAGGAACGGATCATCACAAATCAAGAATAAAAGAAATCCTATAGATGGGCATACAATAATAAAATTTGTTTTCGTTGATTGTTATTTAAATTGCCAACCGGGAATCTATCGGACAATCCAATAAAGCAGTGACAATTTAACCTATTGTTAAAAATGGTTGGCATATTTACCTCATGATGGCAATGTTTATGAACATTATTTCCACCTTTTAAATAAACACAAAAATTTCCTCTGCACAGATTTACCCACCTTGTTAAACCCTTATGTTCACCATACCAAGAAGTGATTCTCTCCTCCCACATGTCTGGTGTCATTTGGTACTGATCAAGAACCTGTCATGAAAAAACAGAAACTCATTACATATGACAGAATTGATTTAATACCTAAATATTTGCCTCCTGACGGTTCATAACACTATACTGCATGGATTGCAGAGAGTGTGGTTGTGGGGGCCCAACAAGAAAATACAGACAGACAAGTGCTTCAGCTGCCCCCCCTTCCTACTCCTCCCTAAAATTACCCAGTGTGTTGAGCCCCCCCTTTAAAGTCAAATTCTACTTTCAGACAATGACATTGGTAGCTCTAAGCCTGGGTATGGTTTAATCATTTGCAGATCAAATTGAAATTTGGCATGTGGGATTTAATTGCAGAAGGAAGAAAAGTGGGATAATCTGGATAACAACATGCACACACACAATGAGAGAAAGACAGCTTTAGATATCAATATGTGGAAAAAACCTGAATAATTATTTACCCTTTGTGGCAGAAGATGTTCATTCTTAAGAAATCCTGGCCTATGAATGTCTTTTTCATAGTCTCCATACTACAAGATTAGGAACAATGTAACAATATTTAGTACCTTAGGATATCAAATAATTCTTTGCAATAATGTATATTAACGTTGAAAAAAGTTTTTTATTTAAGTGGCTAGTCGTTAGCGCTCTCTCACTTAATTGAGGACACTTTTCACTCACACGCACTACCACGCACTACCACTACATTAAATGTTCTATGCACACAACACTCAAATCACATGTTGATTTTTATGAAGTGAGGAAACGGGAATACCTGGAGAAAACCCTTGTAGCACAGGAGAGAACAACACATCAAACAAACTCAATTCACATGTGATGATAATTTGCAGGGCTCAGACCACTGGGACCCCGACCCGTTGGACTCACAGCAGTGAAAGACAACACGTTAGCAGTGTAGGCCACCAATGCTACTCATGCATGCTGATGCAGATCAACGTCATGTTGGCAGAGGATGAAAATCTGATAATTTGGAGATAAAGGTCTGTTGTAGTATAAAGGGACAAACTCAGCTCATGTTGTCAGAGTAGAGCCATTGGAACAAAAACAGTGAGCTAGACAGAAACATTTTACTGCTGCACACATAAACATTTGAGTTATTATCTAGTTACAATAAGAAACCTGAGTGCATAGCTAATTTGTCACGAAAAGCTAAAAGGAAATTGGAGAAAAGGAATGGAAAGAGAGGAAAAGTGAAAGCAATAAAAAAGAAGTAGAAAAAATGTACAGAGAAGTTAAAGGGATGGAAGGAAAGGGAAATAAAGAAAAGGAAAGAAAAGGAAGTTAGGAAAGGAAAGGAAAGTAAAGGAAAAGATGAAAAAAGGGGTAGCCTAAAGCTAAATTATGGTAATATTACGATGAATTTTGAGAGACTTGATGGACTACTTCAACTTTTTATGAACTATGTAAAAGCCACCAATGAATCTAATAGGAATTGAACATGCATTAATCTATGACTAACCTTTGCTTGAACTGCATAAGATGCAAGTAAAACCGATGCTTCAGGAGGGCAGAAGATATCCATTTTTAAAATAGCTTCCTTGACCTGTAAGAAGAAGAGGTGCTTGGTGATCTCTTGAACAAGCTCCTCTGCAACATCCTCAGGATAAAACTTGACGCGAAGATGGAAAACCATGGGATTATTAGATTCGACATTATGACTTCTGACCTTGTTTAATAGACAAGAATTTATTTATAGTATTAAATTATGATAAAACATGAGTGCATGAACAAAACTAAAAAGTTTGGGACTTTCATAGATCCTGGAGTGGGAGAGGCTGAAAGGTAGTGGGCTATAGTCCCTCCTCTTCTTGCAAATATGCACTAAATTTTTAAATCAATGCCCTATCATTTTTATCTTTTGCATACTAATTAAGTCTCTTACATTTTAAAATCCTAGCCTCTTCCCACTTTTTTAACTTTTGTATAATATAGTATCTTACATTTTACAATCTAAGCTTTCCCACTTTTTAGGGTTCCGAGGTCCAGGTTACCTTTCTCATGCAACATCCACATTAACTCAAAAGTAAATAATATAAGTTGGTAAAGATTGTCCTTTAAATTTTGGTTGGTTCATTTGTCTAGTAGCTGATGATGGTCTTTCAGGAAGCTTAAAGGTGCAACCTTGCTCCCAACATCCCCCTGAAATTCCCCCCTGACCCCAACTCCTTCTCTTTCTCTTCTCTTTGAATCAGCATTCTATTTTATGTGCTACTGGATTAGAGAGAAGGTGATCAAAATGAAGGTGTGAAACAACTAGGCCAGACTAGTGTACACAAATAACCTACGTAGCTAAATCTGTTTTTTTAGATGATTGTTTTATTTTTTCTTTTCCCTTCGCTCTTTTTTCCCACCACTCCTTTCCATTTCAAATTATTTTTCTGTCATTCCATGACCTTTAAACAGAAAGATAAAATAATTTTTTTAAAGCAATAACAAGTTTTCTTATTGTAGCAATAAAAAGATTCGCGGGCAAAATGCAGCATCCGAGGGTAAATAATTAAAGAACAATGGTATTGCAATTGTACAAACCTTTTTGTTCAACTGAAGCCATGACAATATCCCTTTGGAATCTTTATATTCCAATCCAAAATACCAGGTTTCGCGTATACCAAGAGTCCTTACTACCAAATCAAATAAATCGCTTCCTTTGGTCTGCCTCTGTAAGCAACAATCAAGGAAATTTAGAACAGAAAAAGATAGGAACAGTCGTTTGTACAAGAAGACGATTCCTTATGTAAAAATGTTATGGTTCTAACCTCGATCGGGAACTCCAATTCCGCGTCCATCGTACTGATTTTGACGTTAAAGCTCTTAGGCATTTTGTGGCTGTCATTTGGCTTTTCAAATAGTACAAAGATATCAAGAAAAATGCGAGGGATTATTTACAAAAGTTTGGTTCTTTATCGACCGACATCATAACATCACTCTCAAAACAAATCCCTTTCTGTGTATTACCGCTGACCGTTGAATGTAATTAATGTTTGGAATTTCAAGAATTTTGCTTGTCAAACTATTAAGGATTTTTTAAAAGCCTAATAATACATTTTTGAGATTATAAACATAAGCATAAGCACGTTCAACTTGATGATAACCTATCATAACTCATATATTTATTGTATTGGAAAAATATTATTTTTTATACCGAGTAGGGATGGGTGAGTAGTTATTGTCCAGCTTCGAAGCGTCCCAGCGCAGCGTTCCTTAATTTTCGCGCTGCTTGAGATAATGCAGGCTCAGGAACATTACTTAACCGTGACGGTATACAACTAAGCCTTAAAATGCACCGTAAGGAAAGGAAGAATTTACGGTAGGTGCTTTAGGGTTTTTTAAAAGGTAAGAACAGTTCATGTATGAATTTTATGCTGTTTTTCACTAAGGTATTGGGTCATTAGTTCATTGCACCAAACGAGTCATTCGATCGTGTAGCTGGACTAGCCTTTTTAAAGCGCTCCGATCAAGTAATAAACACATTGCTTAAATTTTCTATCGTAGCAAGCTGAGAGTATATGAGAGTATATTATAAATGTGTCAGCCCAGCAAAAATTAATCAAGACTGAACTTCAACATTAACATTCTAGCTTTTAAAATGCGCCAACTTAAGTACACGACTTAATCGATTTGTACTTTATGCAAATGGTTACCGTACTAAAAGCGCCTGTTGCTGAGGGTAGATTTGGTACAACATTATCTGGTGTATTTGTATCTCTAATGCGAATGTTTGGGAGATCCTGAGCTAGGAATGCACAAGTACGAACTTTTCAAACAGATTCAATAACTTCGGCTTGACAAGATTTTGTTGTCATTTGTGGTGCGTTTCTTTTGGAGAGTGGAGAGTGTGTGGAGAGTACTACTATAAATATTATACGCTTTACGATATCAATGAAACAATTCCTTTGTGTTCTATGAATATTAAGATAAGTGTAGTCTAGTACAAGAAATAAGATTAGATATAGATATAGTATTACATATTACATTCCTTTACTAAATACCATTATCGCTGTGAGTCAAGTACGGCAGATTGTAATAATCACTGATTGAAACAGATAATTCTTCATTATCAGTCAAGCATTAGTTTTTAACAACTTTATGAAATAAAATAACTGTCTATGCATATTAATTTTTCCAGATAATTTATATATTATAGACTTATTATTAGCTTAAATATGCTATTTACGTAAAGTTACAAGTTAATTGATCAGTCATTTTTTCAATAAAAGCACTTACTACTTTCTATATTTGTCTTCAAAAATCAGTATGTGATTTTAATCACATTTTAATCAATTTTAATCAATTTTAATCAATTTTAATCAATTTTAATCATTTTAATCATCATTTTAATCAATATTTAAAAATATTTAACGCAGTTTTTCATGCCATGTGTTGGAAAGCATTCAGCATGCCATTAGTTTCCTCAAATTCAAGGGATTAAAATCCCTTGAATTTGATAGTGCTTTTAATTAATTTCTATAATCCATGAAACCACAGATCGAATCCTGAAACAACTCACAGATCGAATTTCGAGAAGCTAGAGATCATTCTTTATTTATGTCTAGGGGACAGGCAAGAACCAAACTAATTTATTGAAAACCTATCGCCCTATCCTAACCGTCACGTGGTATAAATCGTGTTCGATTGTGTTATGGTCACCGAAAAGTTTCGTTCCCATGCATCTTTGTACGTCCGCGCGCGAGCATTGATTTGCAGAACGAACGTCATAATCAGAAATAAAAGTGGGTACAGGACATTGTTTTCGGATTTCCGTACGAATTTCTTGACTTTTAAGAAAATTATTTACCTGATTTGTTTAGTTAGCCCTCTAAACACAAGCAATTTATCATTTTTCTAACTTGAGTGAAGCTTTTCTTACTGCTGTTTAAAGAGCTAACTCAAGAAATCGATCTGTATTTTCATTTTAGAGTCAGTTAATTTGTACAGGAATCCGAAAAGGATGTTCGAAATTTTTGGTGGCCGTAACACAATCCAACACCTTTTAAAATGAGTTTGCAAAATATAAATTATTACGGATCCCTCCCTCCCGTGTTTCTTTGTGCTTCATAAAAATGATCCCCCTTTTTACATATGTTGTATATTTTTTGACTTGCCCCTCTTTCTACCAACCCCTTGCTTCGGCTGCCTGTGCTATATTCAAATGTTACGTCAAGTCCGGTCCTGAATCGGTCCTACCGGCCCGTACCCCTGTACCCCAGAGCTAGGTGAGAGAAGAGTACACTACCATTACATATATTTCATTTTACCATTACAAGTTTTTCATTTTACTCTGCGCCTCCAGTATTTCTATCGCTTGATCAAAAGTCTTTAATTTTAGGATTTCTTGAGTGCCTATATCCTTCTTGTTCGCAGCCTGTCTGCATTAGAATACTCGTCAGCGGACCCACTAGGCTAATTATTAGGCTAGGCTAATAAGATCCAAGTAGACAGCGATGCAATCTCGAGACACCTTAAAATCCTTTTTACTTGCGTATATTTATTTTATTCCTTGGCTTTTATGACGTGCATGCATCCTGCGCCAATCAAATACAAAGCATTCAACCGAGGCTACAAGGTTCAAATCTGAATAATCCTTTGAAACTTCCTTATAGCCTCATGAATGCTTTGTATTCGACCAGTGAACCAATGCAGTATAAAAAGTGGTGAATGGGTATACGTAGTATAGAACTAATTAAATCCAAACCATAAGTAGGAAGACCTACAGTTAGGACGTCACGTGCGTCTTACGTCAGTTTCATTGCTAAAAGCTATATATAATGACACGAGCAAAAACCTGGTCTTCAATATTTGTGGTAATACTAAAAAAGTCATTTTGCTAAAAAAAATTCTTGGGATGTATCAGTGACGTCACGGATGAAATGCCTATTTTTACTCCCGACTTATTGAATACTCTCATTGTACAATACAATACAATACAATACAATACAATAACTTTATTTATACTTGAATTACAAGATAGCAAGTACATGCTAATATCTCCAAGTTATAAATAACCTAAACTAAAAATTAAAATTACATGATGCTAATATAAAAATATGGATGTAAACAATGAAATAAATATATGTATATATGTAAAATAAAATAAAAATAGAATTATCCTCTACAAAAGGTACAACAGTCAATATCAAATTTGACTTTGGAAATTTCCGATTTAAATTTACTTAATTCGTGCAACA